CCATCGAAAGCACTAAGCACATTATAGGTAATCCCTTGTGTGTTGCCGTCTTCGGCGGAACAATATCTTGAGGAGCTTTTTGGCACCTGTCCTTGTGGAGTGCAGACTAATGGGCACGTAAGCCATGTCGTTAAGCTATTTCAAAACTATACAAGCTTCATTGAAACGCGTTCGACGAGTTTGGTTGGGGTCTCTGGAATCCAGTCTATGAAAAAACAGGGCGTCAGTAAACGGTGAATTCAAATGATACCTTGGTGAATGATGGCCGCTACTTGTTGTCCTATCAGATCTACGTGAATATGTACAGCTTTAGTATATTGCGTTCACACAAGTTCATGTTCTCATCGAATAAGACATGAGCCAAGCATGGATTAGTTCTCGTACCAACATCGTGTTATAGGCTCAGAAAAAGCATGGGTTTCAATACAAAGCGTCCGGAATTTCTCTATGCTGACGAAACGCCCAACAATATTGGTGTGGTCACTGAGTGGTTACTATACGTTAAACTGTAGTTAGCATTACAACGAGGTCTGAGGTACTTCTTTCCGTAACCCTCGCAGAGTGATGTGGGGATCACTTAGTCTAAAATTTGGGATACACGCCACTAGCATCTCTGCGGCTACTAAAGGTCATGCCTTGTGACTTGTCCAGGCTTTCGGCACTACGTAACTAGAGGTATCCTCGTCCTCCTTGCTATTCTATATCAGAAGCCTACCTTACTTAAGTGATTAACTCAATTTAACGCACACATCATTCACTATGGATCATCCGTTCCTCTATGTGGCGGTTCTTGCGGATCTGACCAATTCCTCGACTTCCGTACCTTCCCAGGACAAGAAAGTAGGATTCTCTTTCTTTCTAAGCCTACGTAGTACTTTGATCGTGAGTATTGCAAGGATTAGAATCCAGCTGATAAGGCTTCGTGGCCTAGACCGTTTTGATTAAAAGTCGATGTCACAGCACAAGAGAATGTGTTCCTGAACAACAACATGAAGTGTGGGGTGATAAAGGACTGTCATGTCCGGAAGGATTGCATCGGCGGCTATGGTGTGAACCACGCTGAATTTGATGCGATCAATCTAGACCCTATCGAGCCAGAAACACGCAAGCCAGTGTCACGGCGCTAGGCATCTGCACGACCCCGGTACACAAGCGTGGAGCAGATGAAGAACACTGCCACAGTCTTCATGCACTTTAATCTGCAGTCAAGAGAGGGAACACGGGACAGGGCGGCCGCTGGACGCTGGGTGAAGTGTCGGGAAGGGCGGAAAAGTCAGTTCACTGCGTTATGTTCCTCGCGCTTGTCTGACTGGGCTCAACGTATATATGGGGCGAGTTCGACCAATGCATTCGAACCTTCCTTTCCGCCCTGCACACAGCTCAATGTTTCCCGCCCAAAAGGGTCAATTTGCCGAGTAAAATGGAACCTAGACAGCAAATAAATCCTGCCCACAGAGGGATGAGCTGTTAAATCATTGTGTTTGTTCCTTTGAGCAGCGGAAAAGTGCAGCTTGGCTCATGCAGTCAAGACTTCATGTTTGCTTGCTTTCTACCTTGGTTGCTTGAAATCCTACGCAAATCATGAATCCGTGCTGGCTTAAAGTCCCTGCGAGAGCATTAAAATCTTTTCTGTCATCGTCGTTAAACACCATTCCTCGCTTCTCATTTCAGTACAATGAATACAAATATGCGATCCTACGTCGAGGCTGGTCCCCAGCCAAACATACCATCGCTTGCTACACTCCAAGCCTTTCCAGCTTCGATAACTTCTCTCCAAGCTCCTAGATCTGCCCGAACTTTATCCCAACTGCTCAACAGAGCGTCTGAGACAAAGGGCCATCTTTACTTCTACTCGGAAATTGTTGCGGAACCCGGTCCTTCCACCCTATCCTACCGCGAACTTAGGACCGAAGCACGCGATAAGGCAAGATTGATCAGCCACAGCATTCAAGCCCAGTCGCCGGAGCCGGTCTTGTTGATACACTTCGATTCACAGCGTGACAGCATTGTCTGGTTCTGGGCCGCGACGTTGGCAGGATTTCTGCCATGTATGTCACTTCCGCTGGTCAATAACATCGGGCAGCGCAAAAAGCACCTACACCACCTGCACGGCCTCCTGAAGGAGCCGACCATACTCACCACCACCAAACTTGCAGCTGAGTTTCTTGATTTGTGCGAATTGAAAGTTAGAACTGTCGAGGACCTTCGATACGTTGATTGCGTTGAGAAGTTTGCGAGTCAGGATCCCGGACAAGAAGTAGGCGCCGACAGCATCGCCGCGCTGATGTTAACATCCGGGAGCACAGGCAATGTCAAAGCCGTTCCACTTAGGCATGGCCAAGTCCTCGATGCCGTCACTGGGAAAAGCTCACATCACGGGACCACAATTGCCGATATCTTTCTCAATTGGGTCGGATTAGACCATGTTGCAAGTCTGGTAGAAATCCATCTTCATGCAAGTGAGCAATACCTCTGAGCCCCTCCAATTGCAGCTAAATCTTTCCGATATCTGCCCAGTCAAGAAACTAAATCTTGTCGATCCTTTTAGTGAGCCTTGGAGCCAGTCAAATTCATGTTCCTGCGTCGCCTCTCATTCAAGACCCGATGCACTTTGTTCGACTTCTGGACACATACAATGTCACTTACACCTTTGCGCCCAACTTCTTCTTGACCATGGTTCTCGACACTCTGGTTCTGAGTCCAGGTTGCACAGCAAATCTTTCCAGTTTGAGGGCTCTGATATCAGGCGGCGAGTCAAACCCTACAACAACTTGCCATAAGCTCACGCAAGAACTACGCCGTCTTGGCTGCAAGAGCGAGGTAATACGCCCAGGATTTGGAATGACAGAGACATGTGCCGGTTCCATCTATTCTAGACATTGCCCCTCACACGACATTGAACGCTCTGTTGAATTCGCGAGCCTGGGATTGTGCATACCAGGGATGAAAATGCGCGTCATGAGCCTCCATGATCCCCAGGATGAAGCTCCCAAAGGCCACACCGGCCAGCTTCAGGTCACTGGAAAGATGGTGTTCAGCCACTACTACAACGACGAAAAGGCGACGAAAGATTCCTTTAGTTCAGACGGCTGGTTTGTTACGGGAGACCTGGCATGGATCGATGATACTGGGAATCTTCATTTGGCTGGCCGTATCAAGGATTCCATCATCGTCAATGGCGTTAAGTGGAGTGCAACCGAGCTGGAAAGCGGACTTGATGACGAGAGGATTCCAGGGATGACTCCATCTTTCACGGTTTGTTTCCCGACTCGAACTGCTGGGTCACCGACTGAGGGTATCGCCATCGCCTACTCCCCGCGATTCCGTGACGAAGATCTCCGTGCGCGCTCTGAGACGGTAAGGGCAATCACAAGGGTGATCTCCTTGATAACGGGCAAAAGACCAGCACGAATAGTGCCCTTACCCCAATCAATGCTTGAGAAGTCATCACTAGGCAAGATCTCGCGCGCCAAAATCCGCGCTGCACTCGAGAGTGGTCAATTCGGACCGATTGAGCGCGAAGACCAACAGCTTCTCGACAAAGACAGACAGCGCAAAAGGCGGGGCGCCGACACGGACAGCGAGAAGGTTGTGCAGGGCATACTAGCGGACCTCTTGGAGATGCCTGTTGTGGAGATTGACGTGGAGACGTCCATCTTCGACCACGGCGTCGACTCGATGCATCTCATCCTTCTGAAATCCAGAATACAGGGGGCGGCGATTGGCGGCCAGGTTGACATCCCCATGTCAGTCTTGCTGATAGAGTAAGTGACGCTCTTCTGGCCTTTATCATCAACCCTTCTTGTCTTACTCCTGTCTGGCCGAGGCACAGTTGCTAATCCTTGACTTGGATCAGGCCAACCGTCGTCGCTATCGCATCCGCCATTGACCGGCTCGTATCGCATCCAATCGTTTACACCCCGGTTGTGCCATTGCAGCAGAATGGATCTGGCACACCCTTGTTCTGTATCCATCCCGGCAGCGGAGACATCCTCGTGTTCATTGCTCTTGCAGCACACTTCCCGACCCGTCCCGTGTATGCCCTCAGGAGTCGGGGTTACAATCCTGGGGAATCTTTCTTCTCTTCTATCGAGGCGACTGCGGAACTTTACGCAGCAGAAATCTGCAAGGCACAGCCGCAGGGACCCTATGCCATTGCAGGCTACTCACTTGGCTCCACGCTCGCCTTCGAGGTCGGAAAGGTGCTCGAAAAGCAGGGTCGAGAAGTAAGATTTCTGGCTAGTATCGACTACCCACCACACATTGCGCATTACGTGCGCGGATTAGACTGGATTGATGTGCTTTTGCACATTGCATTCTTCCTGGAGCTCGTGGATGAGGAGACCATGAAGGACATCACGCCCCACTTGCACACACTCAGCCGCGACGAAGCACTGTCTTACGTCCTCAGAGTCGGCGATGCTGAACGTGCCAGTGCTCTCGCCGTTGACATTGAAAGACTTGCGCTGATCTCAGACATTGCCGAGAACTTCCGTGTCAATGTACAAAGCTATGAACCTGTAGGCAACGTCGATAGTCTAGACGTGTTTGTGGCGGATCCGCCGTCTTATGCGGCTCGTGACCGACAAGACTGGAGGGAAAACAAGCTTGAAAGCTGGGTCGACTTCACGCGGACAGGAGCTAAGTTCCACAATTGCCCGGGAATTCATGCAAAAATGCTCAATAAAGAGCATATGGCTGACTTTGCGAAGATATTCAAAGCGGCCATGTGGATGAGAGGCGTCTAGATGAGACGTATAAGAGTTTTCCTCTTTGAAGAGGTCAGAGGGAAAGGCATTTGCGCTCCACTGGCGGTGAGAGAATATCTTCAATCTGCTATGGTATGGAGTCCCAAGCCTCTCGGAGATGTCTATCAGTTGTCACGTCTGGCCAGGAAGTCAATGAATGACAGCGCTCGTGTTTGTGCATAGTAACTGAGTTGATACACTACTTCTATTTCATGTCTAGGATGGTTGTTTTGAAACACAAGCGCCTACTTTTTAATAAAACTTATCACTCATTGTGCTGCTGACGGTTCGTGCGTACGGCGCTGATTCATCTGGCACAACCAAACCAGCAGCATCGTCATCTTCGTCTGCCACACGCACCCACTCTCCTCCCACATATGTATGTGTCGTCAACGTTATATCGTCTGTGATACTGATACCTGCTTGCTGAGACGACATGTCTCTACCGCTTGTGATGTGGGTGCTCACTTGGCTGCCCAAGAAGTTACTCGAGCTGCGTAAATTACCTCGTTTGTAGTTGGATGCGGAATCCGATGTAATTCTGACGCCCAGGAACCTCAATAGTGGGCGGTATATAGGTAGGGAGGCTGTCAAGAGGGCAACGGCAACCTCGACAACGCAGAGTAGTCCTCCCGGTATCATGTCCCCTAGAGGCAATAAGCTCGGTCAGCATTTCTGGTTTGCGGCTTGAAGAACATGATTGTAAGAGCGACCCTTACAGCTTGGGTTCACCGTGCCTCCCACTCGTCTTGCGTAAGGAACGCGGATAGCTGCGATGATGCAAGCACTAGATCAGACTATTAGCATTGCCAGACGACACTGGGACGAGACACGGCTTCATGCTACCTTCCTCCTAACGCAAAGTTGATTGATAGCAAGATCTTCTTTCGTGTCGACGAGTTGAGTTGTTTGACGAGCGGTAGGGGGGTCAGAAGGATGACCACGTCCAATAAAAAGTTGAAGACGCTATTAAAGATGCTGAAATAACTGAAGTTGATGCAAGTGCCCACCACTGATGTATTCCATAAGGCCTCTAGAGGACGGCATTGCAGGCAGCTGACGAGAATTATGGCGAGTCCATTTAGCAAGTTGACGGTGCTCACGAAATGAACCCAGTAGTGGAACTTTCTTTGGGGAAAGATTGCAAGGTATAATGCGAGGATGCTCCATTTGACAAGGACGCTGGAAACGCCGTATAGAATCGGATTGCAAATATTGAGCTGTAGTACGAAGAATCAGCTTTACGTCGGCATTGGTCATTAGGGGCCTTGGACTCGGAGTACAAAAGAGACCAACTTACGATAGCCAACATGCGCATCGTTTCCGCATCCGTTATGAGGATGATGTGTCTGCCAGCTCCATACCTTGTCGATAAAGCAAAAATTGTGCAGAAGACGACATAGAAGAACTAATGGCCATCGTAAGCGCAATGAATCTTACGTCTTGCTGGAAGAATGGCATTACCACCGAACCAACGACCAACCAGTCACTGAATATGGGTTTGAGTCCGGCTTGGAATCTCGCCCAGATGCGAAGGGCCAGGATGATGACTGAAGCGATACTGCAGATCACGCAGCAAACAATGATGTCGGGAACTGTCGAGTCGTTAATATGCGCCATCATCCAGGCGATGTCTTCTTCGGTTGGGAGCTTTCCCATGGCTACTTGGCTATGACAATGCCCTCATACCAGCCTGACGATGGGTCGAGAATAAGGAAATACAAAGAGGTCTAAAAACAAATTATTGATCTCATCAGAGAGGCAGGGAGAAAGGATTTAGCAGAATCACACAAGGGAATGCTGCTCCTCTCTCCCTTCCCAAGATCTAGGGTTCCATTTTCGGCACGATTGAGATTGAAAGTTTGGATACCACATTACCCAGCCGAGTGTCAAGGAGACGGGGTGCTAATCACAAGCAGGAACTCGAACCAAAGTCCAATTCGGAAGGCCATGCGTCAGGAACCAAGTGGCAGAAATGGCTGGCACACTGCATGAGGATTCGACCTTGCCAAGTGAGTCCGAGGAATCAGCCGACTCAATGGCCGCGAAGGCGGATAAAGGTCTCCTTGGGGCGAAATGTGGGCGGAATTCAGTTTGGCTAGTTTCAGGCCGCGCCAGCGTCGAGGCGCGCCAGGTTTTGACCTTTTGTCTGCAGCGAAATTCTTCATGTGGTGCCGCGTCTTATTCTATACGGTTGAGGACTCCTGCAGGATAAATGACAGAGTCCATCACATCACACCGAGCGATGCCTGCCTCATACTCTGCAGCTATATCTGGGCCCCATTGCAACGTCGTCACAGGCCGGCCCGCTTCCCCCTTAGCGGCTGCAGGGGAGCTAGCAGGGATGTTGCAAGGGCACTGACTAGATGAACGCTGCGATCCTGCAAGCTGAAGAGTGTCTGCACCTCTTGGAATTTACCCAGGGCTCTACCGCAGTCTACGGAGTTATTACACAGATGGCTGCCTTGAGACAGATGAGAATGGGTGCATCTGACGATGTGAAAGTCCTCACCCCGAAGTGAACTTTCCCTTGCGCAGTCACACGTAAGTATCATGGTCTAAGGTAAGGTGACTCACATGGAGCGATCTGGCGAGCCATGATGCAAGCGTGCCAAAGCAGTCTGGTCAGGTCAGATCATGAAAAACAGTTGAAAGCTTGTGATATAGCCAACAGCACTACCCCGGCAGCTCAACCCCGACCCGGACATGTCCAAAAGATCCACGCCGTACTATGCAGCTACTTATTTCGGTGATCGGTCTGCTTTTCATGATCTGGTCTTGTCTTGCCCGTTACCCCGTGGGCGGTGTGCCCTATCTGGAGACAATGGCCACCAAACGACGGACAACCTCAATCTCCGCCACGCCCGTTCTCCTGTGTCTTCAGCAATGCGCATCTCATCATTGGATCGGCTGCTCACCGGCTGCAGGTGAAGAATGGGGCTGGACCTCACCACACTGCAGCCAAGCCAATAACGTACCCCAGATGATGCCACACCAGTGCATGTTGGTAGTTGGGGTCAGGCCCTGTCTTCATCCAAACCAACAGTGGCTTCCGGAGTTCATTGTTGGAAACAACATGTTGAGTGTTACCCTTGCATCATTTACAAGATCCTTCCAGTCTGGCAATACGCAGCCACCCCGGCCTCGGATCCATGGCATCCGTAGAAATTCCTTCCGATTATGATGTCCAGGTTCCCCTTCGTCTTCGTGTTGGCTTTGCGCAGGAAGCAAGATGACAGGTACGCGAATAGACTAGACCTGCTTCATACGTAAATCCTCCCATATCAAAACATTCATCTTCATTCTCTTTTCAAGCTCTCTTCACCTGAACTCGAGATAGAGCTTGACATTGTTTCGGCCGGGGCCTTCAACTGTTTGCCAATATGACTCATATGCTGTGGTTATTTTGGAGCATACTCGCTCTCGCAAGCTTCGTTATTTACAGCCGCAGGCGGAAACCGGACCAACGAAAACTTCCTCCAGGGCCAAAGCCACTCCCTTTATTGGGTAACATCCGAGATTTCCCTCCTGAAGGCACACCGGAGCATCTACACTGGCTCAAGCATAAGGATTTGTATGGACCAATCAGTTCGGTAACGGTTATGGGGATGACGCTCATCATTGTCCACGACAAGAACATGGCGCATGAATTGCTAGACCAAACTGCAAGTAAGACGTCAGGTCGACCTTCGATGGTCATGGCCAACAAGCTTTGCGGCTACGAATCAATTGTTCTTTGTCAAGGCTATACGCCCATGTTTCGACGGTATCGCAAGTTTCTTCACCAAGAACTCGGTACAAAGGTCTCTGCGTCGCAGTTTCGTAACGTTCAGGAGTGCGAAGTAGGCCGACAATTAGTACGGTCCCTGGAGAGGCCCGAGAGTCTCCTAGAGCATTACAAGACGTGAGTCTGGACAGATATCTAGCAAACATGCCGAGAGCTAATCGTCGATTCAATGCCAGTACTGCCGCTGCCACCGTTCTCCAGATGGCTTATGGCTACACCATCGAGCCCCATAAATCGGACGCGCTCATAGAGCTCATTGAAAAGATGATGACTGAATTCTCTCTCGCCGCAAGTCCCATGGCTTGGCTCGTAGATATCATTCCTGTTCTCCAACACCTTCCTGAAAGTTTCCCGGGTGCCTCTTTCAAGAAGACTGCTAGGGAATGGCGCAGATCAATTCAAGCGTCGGCCTATATCCCGTACGAATTCGTTCAACATCAGCTGTCCTGTTTCTCAAACAGACCCTCTTATGTGTCGAAACTATCCCAACAGCTGGCACAAGACGAAAAGGGCGAGTTGAGCAAAGAAGATGAAAAGGCTGTCATCTGGTCAGCGGCGAGTCTTTATGGTGCGGCTGCGGATACGACTGTCATCACTCTCAGCACTTTTGCGCTGGCCATGCTAGAGTTCCCTGGCGTTCAGCGCAAAGCACAGGCGGAAATTGATCGGGTCATTGGCTCTAGACGCCTTCCGACGTTCGAAGACCGCGACAAGTTGCCGTATGTGGATGCTTTGGTCAAAGAGACTGCTAGGTGGTGGCCCATTGTTCCCATGAGCTTTCCTCATACAACGACGGAAGAGTTTGAGTACGAAGGGTATCGATTTCCTAAAGATGCTTTTGTTCTCCCGGCTGTTTGGTGGTTTCTTCACGACCCAGATGTTTACACCAACCCAGAATCATTCGATCCTGACCGGTTTCTGTCCCCACGGAATGAAGCTGATCCCACGACAGAGCTCTTTGGGTACGGCCGCAGGATATGTCCTGGACGTTTCTTTGCCGACTCAAGCCTCTTTATTAACATGGCCCAAACACTCGCCGCTTTCACGATCGCTAGGGCATTGGATAAGGATGGCAAGGAAATCGAGGTCGATGTGAGACCGAAGCCGGGCATTTTGACATATCCCACGGCCTTCCAAGTGAGAGTCATGCCTCGGAGTAGGGAGCATGCGGAGTTAGTTAGGCAGGTTGGAAGGAAGTATCCATTTGAGGCTAGTGATGCCGCCTTTTTGCAGCATCCAGATAGTTTTCAGGTTAGATACTAGCTCGTTTTGTTTGCCAAAACCATCTCATGGTAGTCATGCACCCGCACTCTATTTCTGTGTGAGATCTCCAGGATGACAAGGGCTTTTATGGGTTACTTCATACTGGTCTATGGCATACCTGACACACCCGGATCCGACTAAAGTTTGGATGACCTGTTTCCCTCTTCAAAGGATCGGAACTCGGGTAATGATAGAGTACTTGACTTAGGACCCAGCTCTTTCTTCTTGGCGTTCATTAAGGTGGCTTCATCTTTCCAGCCCCAGGCGGCGTCCTTTTCCCGGCCGTTGCTCTTCTCTTGCAAGATCTGACACATGTATTTACCAGCAATTGGGAGGAACCTAAATTTGGTCTGTCAGTCGGATCTTCCCTGAAGCGCCTCCTAAGGCATTACCCCTTGGAAGATTGTTCACGCACTTGTATGTGTCAAAATTACCTCCGACGGCCAGAAAGAGGTTTTCGAGCTGTGGTTGCGGATGCCGGCAAAGTAACCAGTCCTCTGTAGGAGTCTTTGCATCCCAGCATATTCGCCATCGATCTGGGCTCTTCTTTTGCGCAAAGTCAGGTATCATGGTGTTCATGAGCTTCTGACTTTCATCTTTCAACTTTTGCGGCACATCTTCCTGTGCTCTTTCAGATGGAATAGACACAACATGTCCTGCAGATATGGCAACCCGATTGACAAACTCATTTTGAAGGTCATTGATCTTCATTATTCGGTTTTCCCGTGACGGCGGCGTGAGGATTCCGCAGGATTTATAGATAATGATCGGCATCCCGGCTTCGCACATGAGTTCGGTTTCTTCGGGAGAGAGCTCGTAGTAAGCTGAGACCCGGCCCACTGCTGTGATCTGCCGTTCAATCCGGTCGTGGGGTGCGAGACGTAACTTAGCTTCTATTGGCGCAAGCAGGCCACTTGTCCAAGCGCCGGCTGACAAGACGATTCGGTCTGCTGTTAATCGCTGGCCGTCTTTCATCCTTACACCCAGTACTCGTCCCAGAAACGGATCAAGCAACAGCTGTTCCACTTCTCCAGTGATCGTTCTTACTCCATTTCGTTTCGCCGCCGTCATCAGACTTTGGGTTGCCAGTGCTGCATCGCACCATCCAGCTTCTGGATTGAAGAATGCCGTTCCTAGCCCACTCGTCTCTAGTCCCTTGAAAGGCTTCCACCGTTTTCCGAGATCTTCAACATCGGCATCGGTGGTATAGTCAGACCCCCTTTGCTTGAGAGTCTTTCGCACGGCGTCGGAAAACTGATTATTCTCTTCATCGATTGTCACGCACCCAGTTTTGTGAAAGAAGTGGCCGAGATTAAGATCCCAAAACCACGGATGAATGGCTTCGCTAGCAAGGTTGCAATAGAGCGGTCTCACGTAGTTTGTTTGGATAATTCGATTGACATCTATTGCGGCGGCCCTGTTTGCTTCAGGATCGGACGGTGCCCACCGATCGACTACAGTCACGCGGCTGGCGTCTTTGTAGGTTTGAGAGAGGTGATAGGCCGTGGAAGTGCCGAATGTCCCACCACCTATGATGAGGATTGTGGGCTCAGCCATGCTGTCTAGGTGAAGTGCTTTGGAGCAACGACTTAGTGGCAACTTTTCAGGTAGTTGAAGTGAAGCTTTAGGGTTCCACGGACACGCAGGCTTGAAAGAGAAAGGTTCATCGGAAGTTCTGGATCGGACAGGTTCGCTCTTTTTAAGCTCCGGGTACCTATTATCAATCACTCCTAGGTAGGAACCTGAGGAACTGTTGGTCTCCGACTCCGCCGAAATCCCGAGAAACCCCCATGCGGGTGATATTTTCCGTTTCGCGGGGACCCCAGGAAATCCACAGTACTCCAATTTTGAGTTTAGGCATGACGATGGACAAGGCGGGGTTGAAACCCATGACTTCGGCACTCACATTGAAACATGTTCTTGGCCATTTGAGTCAGCAGCAACATCATCAATACTTGAGCTGTCTCATTCCTGTAGAGCTTCCGAGAAATCATTTCCTTAGAGTTATCTTCTCCCCACGCTATTGAGAAGAGGTTTGAAAAAGGTGCCCTATTCCCAAAGAAGCAAGAATGTAAGCCAATACTTAGGTGACTCGATGATTTGCTAGGCATCAGATAAGTAACTACCTTTCCTATCACTACTATCGTAATTATGTCGCCCGTTTCCTGAGGTTTTGAACGCATGTGGTAAACAGAATACATCATACTAAGAGAGCTCAAGAGTTAAAGCAATGATAGTGTTGGAAACGGGTAGTCTTAGAGGCAGACTACTCACGTTGATACCCGGCTAGGTTGTTTGTAAAGGTAGAAAGTGATCTGATTGGTATAAGGTAGATCACGGAGCGTAGTCATTTGGCAGGTTCTGACGAGCGGAACCCAATAGGAAAGAAATCTGGTCCGATCACCGATTCCAATGCTGGGATATCAGCAAGTTTTAACCCTGTTGTCTTTGACATGTCATACAGATGCAATCATTCATTACATTATGACCCAAGACCGAAAGCAATACAAGCAGACAAATAAAAAGTATTAGTGCATACATTGCTTATCATGGTTCCGGCTTCCAAGACGCATCCCTTACTTGCGAGGTTGAACTAAAAGTCCGAGCCACATAAAGTGCCTATATTTCTTTCCCCGCCCACTGGATCGATATCAACAGATCTCATTGCCTTTGACACCATTATGGACTGCTGGTCTCTACTCGTCTCGAACCAAGTACGTAAAACGTACCAACTTACACGCAGTTTGACTTTTGAGATAGGATTTGCTTGCTGCCACGGAAGACTCGGCACTTAGCCGGCCTACGGGAGCACGTTGATCAATGGAATAATATTAACACTTCCGAAATGAGCTGTATTCAACACCAAGCCGAACCAATTTGGAAAGCACCATCATTCCCGCGTCTGTCCGGTTGCTGATGCCGAATCTGTTGGCACGACAGGCTCTTCGTATACAGAAATCGCCTTTTTGGTTCGTACATCCCCCTTGTGCTTTCGGAGAGCCTCAATAATCATTCTCTTCATGGTACGCTTTTTTTGTCGAGCTTCGCGGAGTCTGGCTGGTACATCGCGATATATTGACCTGTTCTTTTCCGCTCGGAACTCCAGCATCTCGATTAGAAGCTTGACTCGACGGTATTCAGAGCGGAATACTTCGCCTTTTGTGTCCATTTCTGCGACAAATTCCCTTTAGTGCTTCCTAGGGATCACGGGGTCACTCGTCATGTGTGCTGGAGGGATAGGTTCTATCGTAGGCGTGTCGGCAGTCATTACGAAGTTGTGATTTTATCGTACCCCTAAATTATCAGACACTTCCTTTGAACACACATTAGAATCCCGCATTGAACTCTTGATGGGCAGAAAGAAGAAGGCATCGAAGCATCTTCAGTGACTCCGACATTCGAACGCAAGTTTCCTTCTTCCTGTGGTGCGGTGATATTGAAGGGCAGGACTAAGAGCTTGACGCTCACGACAGAATGGTTTGATTGCCCGCAAAATTGCCAGCGGAGCTAACGGGTAAATAAAGGGTTGCGAATAGTAGCAAGAAGACTTGTTGTAATTGATGAAGATTACCGTGTCCCACGATGACTTCGTAGGTCTTGAGATGGAGGAGCGAAGTTTGTGCCAGTCTCTGCAAAGTCAGGGCGCTTGGATAAGCCCCTACCTCGACCAACGACTGGGTTGTGATTGGAATCACGCTCATTAGTGGCAAATTCAATTGTTTGCTTCCTCTTTTGGCCTGCTCCGTTGGCGCCACCAACATGACCTGTCCAAGTCACGCCGTCGGTGTTGGAAACACCAGCGGCCGAACGCCGGCCACGCCAAATTACTGATGGCTATCCGACCATCAAAGGAACAGCCATTGATTTCATGAGAACGTTGTTCAATTGAATGAAGACGTGGCCAGCTCCGAGACCCCGTTTAAGGTTACTTATTCAGATGCATCATGGACATTACCACGTTTCCTCCGTTTCGTTACGGGCCCGACAAAGCTAGCAGGCAAGGTAGGCCGCAGGGTGCAGCCAACCACACAGTACGGGTACTACCTACGCCCGTACCTCGCCGCAAGCAAGGGTCAGGGATGCTCATCCTTTGTGTCGGATCCTCGGTCCTTCCCAGGTTGTGAGTGGACAAAACGACAATTCTCTTTTTGGCAGACATAACGAGGAAAGCGGGGAAGGGCAGTCAAGCAATGGTGGATGGCAGAGATGTTAGCTCGATACTATATTTACCTTATGTGTTGATACATGCCAGCAGAACGGCCATCCGGCCAGCTTGAAGCTCGCTAATCGGATATTGAACTGCGCAATGGCACGTGAAAGGTAAAAGTAGGTGCAAGGGCCGTTTGCATTAAGTTATATTCTCTGCCTCTTGCACAACATACCCAACGGTATGAGATGGTGGTGGTTGTGTCACTCTCAAGTCAAGCGATTATGAGAGGTCCGTGAGATGCCCCAAAACTGACATAATGAGACAAACAGATCAAATGAGCCCAATGGAAGACTGCCTAGGCTCAGTCTTGGGGAGAATGGAGATTAGAACACGCTTGAGCTCAGATGAACCGAGAGGCGCTGTGACTTTCTTCAACGACTTTAGCAAATTGCTCTTTGCAGGCGCTTCTAGGTTCGTTGCATCTGATACCCATTTTCCCTGCAATGGGAAGTCAATACGTGACACAAAACCTGGAAGCCTCATTTGATGGCGGCTACATTTACGCTTCGTCGCCTTACAGTGTAGCAGAAGGAGAATAACAATAACGACAAAGACAAGGATCTGGCGTAAGATATCTCTGCCAGGTAACGGGGTTGAATATAAGAGATGGTGAGTCGTGGGATAAACTCAGGGAGGTACCCCAGGTTGGACTTGCCTTGAGTAAAGTACATGTGCCTGCAGGTGCTATGTTGCTCTTACCATAATTCTCTCATGTGTTTTGGGGCAACCACGTCATGGCCACTCTCCAGCGGACAAGGGAAGGTGCGTTGGATTGACGTATCAATGATTGGAGCTTTCCTTCCGTGCGCTTCTCTGGCTGTTCCTCTTTTCTCCTTTCCTCGCGCTTCTTCCTGGTTCTTATTCCACAACCTCCCGTCGTCAAGGCAGAACAGATCGGCATCATTCATCAACAGCTACATATCTTCAACACACGCATCTCTTTTGACACTCCAGCAATTGATTAACCCGAGTAAGAAGCAACGAGTTTCAGGCATTACTTTCAGTCGCTCAATTCCCCAATTCTCGGCGGCGGTCCGACTACTGCAGGCCAGACAGCCACAGCTCCCGTCACGAACACTGACACTGGTGACCGACCCTGTCCACGAGCCAATCAAGTCTTCGGGCGATTACAACATTGACAATGAACTTCATCACCACCATGACTAATCGTCTGCTTACTGCTGTTGGAGTGCCCCGCATTATGTGAGTTCGTTGCTTTTAGTCTTGACGGCTTTCCGAACATTACCGCCTGCCGCTAACACGTCTTGCGCACTCTAGTGACAGACCGCTGGACGGGTGGCACATGAACCCCGAAAAGCCAGAAACTGTAATGATTCTCACATGTATGCCGTCATCCGCTCTCTCTCCTTTCTCATTGCGGTCAGGTTATGCTGAGACGATGCATCATCTAGACCCACCGACTTACACGCAGCCGCCGATTGACCACGTCCACGAACAGGTACTTGCCTTCAAGCCGTCACTCTTCGACAGTGGAGGAGAAGTAAAGCTTGTGCCCCACGGAACTCAACGGAAGTGGCAACATCTCGGAGTCACTGCCCACAGACTCGATCCCGAAGATGCAACCAGACTTCAGCTTCGAACACTTTAGGAGAAACCCGAGAGTTCAGATGGCGAACTGCGGGACATTTGGGCACCCGAATACAAGGTTCAGCTTGGTGATCCTGACGCCTGGACCAGTTACTTTGATCCTCTTGATCGCCAAGAGATCCTTCCGTGGGATAAATCAACAGCAAAGGTCATCAATGTCCTGGGACACCATATTGGCGAGCATAACCGAGTCATCTTACGTATTCAATACGAAGGAGAGAACGACCGGAATGCTGGAAATGTGGACGAGGTGTGGATGAGAACCTATTATCCTCAACTCCTCCGTGAATACTGGTTTCGTTACCGATGGGCATCCTTCAAAGCCCGCTGGGCTGCCCGTCGGGCTGGGAAACATGTCCCGCGGCCCGCTAGCGATGAATGGTGGAAGCGGGCTCCGTCGAATGTCAAACACGGCAATCTCCGATACAGGAACCGGTTCAATATCTTGACCGTCCGACCAAGAAGGCTGCCCAGAATTCGGGTTCGAGACCAGATCGCTGGACTATTCCGCCGGTGGGATGATGCAGACAGTAAGTTAAAAACACATACTGCGTAGGCTTCTGATGTCACATCGTACTTGCCTGGTGGCTGACTGCTAATGGATCCTCATCAGCGATCCCTCCTCGTTAGCCACCTGCAACACCAGCCTGATACTTCTGCGAGCTACATATGGCCCCACGCTTATTCTGCATGTAAGCGTGTCTGGGCTCGATGTGCCAGCGACCGAGTCGTAGAGATGGAGAGGAAGAATCCCACCAAGAATTTCAAAGGAAACCCCATTATTCTCACAACGATCACGGTGGGTTTTGTGTCACAGTCGAGTAGGTTTCGACATGGCTCGTTTGAAAGTCCGCATTAGCGACCGTTGTATTATTCTTTCAGTACATTCTGGGTATCGTAGCGCTTGCTTATTACATTGTTCTCAAATTCTTCACTCGGCGGTGCTCCTAAAAGCATTGGCCGTGATCAGCTGGTATTGTGCAGATAAAATCAGACGAACCAATACTGGTGGCTCATTGTAATGGCCCCGGGAGAGAGCAGCGGCTTGGGGGCTATGGGTTGACCAAGCAACTCGGACTAGCCACCTCGTGCCATGCGGACCATAACTCATCTTTCATTATGCTGCCTCTGTTGTACTTGACGTTGGCCCTGTTGCATCGTCCCTCACTCTGCCTACGTACAGCATTGCTGCCGACAGCTGCTGAAGCCGTCTTATTGGGGCGCGGCAAGAAACGAACGGCCACCTGAGTTACCTTCTTGTCTTCATTTGTAGCCGAGTTGCAGACTACTGGTTCTCCAAAACGTCAAAGATTCCTTCAAAGACTGGCGCTGGCGCAGGAGGCCGTGTCTCGCCCTTCAGACTCCGGCTCAATGTGTCCATGGACATGGTGGTGGCCATACCACCGCCCGGGAAACCGAGCGAGACTGATCTCAGCTGTCTGGGTTCGAGCATACCCATTCCGATCTCGGCGGCGCCAGAAGCCGACCGCTCTGCACCGAGGGCAAGGTCTAGCCTTGAAGAGGACCTCCGCAGAGGGGAGCGACCATGCAGATTTGGCGTCTGTGACAATGATCTCGATGGTGGGGGGAAGAGGCGAGTGGCCAATGCCGGCGACGACGGCGAGGGCGAAGAAAAGGAAGGCCGGGAGATGGACGATGAAGTGGAGGAGGAGGAAGACCTGCGTGAAGAAGAGGATGGCTGCCGATTCGAGGACATGTACTCAATTTCGAGTAGGTGGAGAAGATCAGTGACCGTGACACCTTCAGGAAGGTTGAAATCTGGCCGAGGGATTCGGTGGTAAGCGGGTGGACCCATTCGGGCTCCGTTTGTAGACGGCCGACGCTGTTGAACTTGAGGCTGCGGTGGCGGTGGCGGTGTTGATTGATGTTCAAGATATGATGATGCTGATGGTGGTGGTGATGGAAGTGGCTGACTGGCGGGTTGAGGTACCTCGATCTCCTCATACCGCGTGGGCCGCGTAACCGTTGCCGGTTCGGGCAGCCCGCTCATAACAACGGGGCCGCCGGCTGGCGAGGAGCAGCTGCTGATGGGACTTGAGAGCAATTCACCGTACCCTTTGGCGGGCCGGTGACTCTGAGCTGGTTCGGGACCTTGGGAGAAGGTGCTGCTGCGGAAGAGGTAGTCATCTCTAGGGCTGTCCAAACTTGGCTGCTGCTGCTGGCGCTGCCTATGCTTCAAAGACGGGGCCCTCTGAAAGGCCGTCTGCAGAGAGAGCCTTCCCCGACGCGACTTTGATAGATTACGCAGAGGTTCTCGAGCCGGCGAGTCGGGCGCGGGCGCGTGGAGGCCCGTCTCGGAGACGGCAAAGGGGTCAACGGGGGAAGAGGATGATTTCAGGGCCTCGAACGTCGAGACAGCCTGGGACACGGGAACGTTTTGGTGACCAGTGTGGTTCATCTCCTGGATGAGGTACTGGAGCTGGTTGTCGTCGAGGTCGGCGAGGACTTCGTATAAGGAGCCCAGGGAGGTGGAGGGCTTGTGCCGCCTGGCGTTGTGAGAGGGTTTCGCGACGGCGTCCATTGCGGCGACACTGTGGTTGTTGTTACCGCTGCCAGTCCGAGTATCGTGAGATTCCGTCATGGTACACAAGACATGTACGGAAGAGGTGTGAACTGGTGAATGTGGAGGACGGTAGGTAGGTGATTGGTGCGTATCAGAATCAGGCACGCTGTGTGGAATGACACTCTGAGACAGCGAATCTCATTGCTGCTTCAGTGAAACACAACCCGACGGGTGAGTGAGTGTGGGTTGAGTTGCATGAACTTGCTGCAGCCTGCGGGCCACGCACACCAACGCGCGACACGGGACGGGACTTCGGAAGGGAGGGAGGGATGGATGGATGGATGGTTGGAGGGTCAGACCAGCTGCAACCTCAGGTTCGAAGGGGGATGGATGGGGAAGAGTTGATTACGAAAGTAATTACTCCGTAAAAGGATGGGCAACAAAAGCAGACAAAACGGCAATCAAGAGAGACGGGAAGATGGATGAAACAAGTTGTGAACTGCAGAAAGGGAAATGGGCAATTTCAGATAAGCAAGGTCATGAAGTATGGATACGCGTTCAGGATGTGTTCCGTAATTAATCCCTTTTTTTTTTTGTGTCCTCCACAAGATGAGAGAACGAATGGCTGAACCCTTTGGCCAGGACTCCACGAGACGGACGCGGGACGCGAGGGTCGCAGCGCAAAGTGCGGCAGGCTTATGCAAAGCAGCAGCAAAACTAAACGGTTCGCTCGGGTAGCCGTGGCGGCGGTCGTTTGACGTGACAGGGGTAAAAAGGGGCCAAATCTTAAAAATTTGGGCTTAGGTAATAATTCTGTCCATCATGTGATCAACGTGACCCAGACATTCATCACGACTTTGCCTATCCGGGATAGGCTCGGAGTGTTATCGTCAACGTCATTTCGGTTCGAGCTTATCGATAATCAGGTTGGGCGATAAGGCGTCTGCGGAGCCGTCTTAACCTAAGGAACCTTAAGGTAAAGTACCTACCTTAGGTAAATGATTGTTCTCTGTAGAAGTTCTTCAAAGTCATAGCATAAGAAGATCACGAGCTGCACATTCACTGAAAGGAAGAATGCATACCTAGCTATTCGAGCAATTGAACCAGGGGTATCTGACAACAAAAGACATCCCAGGCCGTAAACGAGCTATTCTCACACAAAACATGGCCCGTCCCATCAAACTTCTCGGAACTCAACGACGGATCGGCCGAGATGTGACCAATAAGACGAATTAATCCTTCTCATCTTCACTTCCAATTTCCGAATCATTGTACTCAATCTCGTCCTCGTGTGCATCGCTATCGTCCTCTTCATTAGCACCCATGCCATCCACAGCAAACACGTCAATGTGATGATCGCCATTGTCCTCTTCGTCATCCCCTTTGCTTTGAATAGGAGCAAACAGTTTCTCTTCATTCTCGATGACGACTTGGCGGAAGAACGGGTGATCCTCCTGGAGAGTCTTGCCCTGTGCAATGAAACCCATTGGGGTCGACATGAAGTCTTGGCCGCGACGGCGCGCGGCGAGCCACTCCTGCACGAAAGACAGGGGCCGCGCAGTAAGGCCGTTAGGCGCCACATACACCTTATGCTTCTCTCCGCTCTGCGTATCGGCAGAGTCGCTGTCTGATCCCTCCTGATCGAGATACTCTAACAACGGCAATGACTGATCGATGCCAAGGAATTCGCAGAGCTGGTCATAGTCGGTCCATTCAAAATACAGCCGGCCTCCGTAGATTCCCAGCTCGATCTTCAGCCAATCCGGAGCCTTCCAATCATGAGGATGGGAAGGGACACTGAAGAAGTTGAGATTGCTGAAATGGAGCATCTTCCGTGTGACTGGAGCCGCATAGGTAATCAAGTTTGTCGCGCAGTAGAGGTCTGGATCCTTGAGAATAGACAAGAGCATCTCCGCCTCCTCCGGGATGACGATCAAGGCCACTTCGGTCTTACGACTCCATAGAATTCAGTTCACATTTCGCTACCTATTTGTTAGCAGCTGTATGTGATAGCACGGAAATCCGTTTGCAAATTAGGGTGTGACTTACCAGGAAATTATCACTCGTCAGGTCGAAGCTCAGGTTGACCGTTCGCTCAAATTCTGTAGTAACATAGAGATTGGAACGTGAGGACCGGTCCGAGACCTTGAACTTCTTGCCTATCGCAGTCTTAGACAAAGACTTGATGGCAGGGATGAAGGTATGGGTGCCAGCGGGTATTCTTCCTGTCTTGGCGAAGGACTCGACTTCTGGGTGCAGCCCAGGGAAAGCCAAGGTTGGATAATGATGCGGCTTCTTGACTTGGCGAACTGTCTCAACCTCGAAGGACAGCTCTCGTTCTTGTTCAACTTCTTGGAGAGCGGATGCATGCACAGCTCGGCCTGTGTCTTGGAATGCCTGGCGTCTCTGGGTAAGTTCCTTAACAAAGGCCCTGATCTTCGTGTCTGACCCCTTCTGAAATTCTCCAGCTCCCTTGATCTTTCGTTTCGGCTCGTATAGCTTCTGCAG